GAATGATTATGATATCTTCACCATTTTCAACCTGTAGTTGGGGAATTATTGGCAGGGCATCTTGAGATGCTGACATTGCCATAGCAATAGCTAAAGCTTCCTCTTCTTCAGCTTCCATCTTTTCCTTGCATTTTTTATTATGATTTACATCATCTTTGTAAGTATCATAATTTTCTGCCCGCTCAGGAGAAAGAACTGCAACTTCGGACTTGAATGTAACTGTGCCATCACTTGTTGGCATGGAGGCCTCAAGCAGGTCCTCAATACTGGAATTGAGCTCTGCATTAACATCCAATTGACATTTCTCATCTGCTGGTGCAAACATTGTCTCTTCACTTGGCATAACCGCACTGCTACTACTATTGCTATCACACTGTAAAATATCATTCAGGTCAAGTGTCATACTGCTTTTTGAGGTTTCTCCCTGCTTGTTCACATCACTTGAGGTGGGTCGTGATGGCTTTGGTCTGTGTATGTGACTGGATAGCAATGGCCTGGCTTGAGTAAAAACTGGAAAAAGTTTCTCTGGTTCTGTATTTTCAGAACAGTTTTTCTGGAACTGGAGAGAAAGTTTCTGTTGTGTTTGAGGAGAAGGTGAGGGGATTTTGCAGGGAACAAATCCCTGAGGTCTGAGTTGAGAGACATCTGTTGCAGTGCCAGCTAGTACAGATGGGTTTGAAGGAGATGGAAGCATTGGGGATAATGACTGAGAATGACAAGATGAGGGAGAAGAGTTTAAACACTGACTGGGGGTTTTTCCTTTTGTTTGAATGGCTGGCTTTGGTTGCTCAGTAGTTACTGATGAAACGGGAAGTCCTACAGCAAGGCCAGCCAGCATCTCAGAAGCATCCTCTGGACTGTCACTCAGTTTTTTATCACTTAAACTTTTCTCACTTTTCCTTGATAACTGGACAGTATTGTTAGGAGTATTACTTTCTATAGCTTCTAGAGAGTTATCTGGTACAGGTAGCTGCAAAAAGTCTTCATGTCGACATTCCCCAAAGTACATTTCTCCCATGCCTAGCTGGATGGTATCTGCAATTTCCATTTCATCTGCTATTGCCATCAGACGTCGACGCATCCTTGCATAATGAGTTGAACTTGTCACACTCAACATTTTTAACAGCTTTATAAAAACATGGACTTTTCTCACTTTTCCTTGATAACTGGACAGTATTGTTAGGAGTATTACTTTCTATAGCTTCTAGAGAGTTATCTGGTACAGGTAGCTGCAAAAAGTCTTCATGTCGACATTCCCCAAAGTACATTTCTCCCATGCCTAGCTGGATGGTATCTGCAATTTCCATTTCATCTGCTATTGCCATCAGACGTCGACGCATCCTTGCATAATGAGTTGAACTTGTCACAACCAACATTTTTAACAGCTTTATAAAAACATGGGGCACTCTTGCCACCATTCTTGCTGCACTCAAAAATATTCTCCGTGATAGTTTTCCAACCATTGAGTGGGGATTGTCAATTGACTGCAAGGCAAAATTTAAGAGGGAGAGAAGTTTCTTAAACCTGAAAGTTAAAAAAGAAAAAAGAAGTGTCTTATGGCTTTCTTGGCACTAGTTAACTAGAGCATATCAGTTCATTTCAAGATAATCTATTTAGCTGTCAGTTCTGCAGTAGAAAGGAGACTTATTGCTGCACTGGTACTTCAGAATTGTTTCACAGGTCAGAAGTTAAAAAAGAGAAGAAACCATTTACTCTGTAAAGTAGATGCACTTTATGCACTTTTGCATATAAATATAGACTATTTGTTTACAGGAATTAGAACAACTAATTTTTGAAGAAATTGTCAATACCACATTCAACTACAAGGAGTAATAGTCACATAGTGTAAGTATGTACCTGTCTACTACAGTATCAGCCTGTAAAACACCTCCACAGAAAATGTGGGGATAAAATTCACCAGGAAATTCCAACAGAAGTCTGTCTATTAGACAAAGTCGCCCCAGTAGTGTTTGCCAGTTGCTAGACTCGGTTTGGATTCTGAGAATACAGTTTAAGACATAATCAACACCACCAATACCAATAGACCCTATAAAAAAAGTTGATAAAATAAGAATTAGATATGTTCACAATCTAAATTTTGATCTAAATAAAGATCAAAACTATATCATACAGAAATATACAATGTACACCCAAATTAACACCACCCTCCCCCCCAAACTGCTGAGAGCAGCATTGTTCTCTTTGCCATACTGACAAATACAGAATAAAACCTGTCTTAAATTGAAAACAGTTCAGTATATTTGCTTGTAATTATAACTCAAATTATACACAAAGAGCTATTATTACCAGATTTAAGTATTTCTCTCCCAACTGCCAGCTCTCCTGCTTGGCCTTTACACATCTCCAATAGTGTTGAGGCTGAAAGTTGACGTGTTCGACTATGAAATGAAAACAAAAATCCCAAACAACTTTTCGCAGATGCTTTCAAGAAAAATCATTTTAATCATTACATTTCATTAATTGTTAGCTTGGAATTGTGCTTGGAAAATTATTTCACATCACTTTATTCCAATATACTTCTATAATCTTCTATCTGTAAGCTACCAATAGTTGTGACATTTGTGATCTCATCCTCTTGCACAAACAGGCCAAATCCAGGAATCCAGCACCACAAGGAACAGTTCTATTTCACTTATACATTTAATTTTAGATTTTCTATTGCTAAACTATTGCCAGTGTATCTCTAGTTGCAGTTTCAGAAGCAATGCTGCTTAGGAACTAAACTGAGAGAGACAAAAAAACCACAAAAAATAAATAAAAATCTGGTGGACTTCTGTGTCTAGTTTATAGTACAGCTGAAGAAATGGTTGGTCTGGCAGAGCAGACAGGGTATCTTGGGAGAGGAAGACAAGGCCTACTCAAGCCAGAACTGCTAAATGCTCAGAACAGCCATCTCCTAACATTACACTATGAAGTAAAAAGTAGCAGTGTTATGTTAACACTTCATGACATAGATGTTCAACAGCTTGCTTTAATAAATATGCATGTTTCCTACTTTAAAGATACAAAATTTGATGACTGGTACTTGCTGAAGGGTACTTGCTAACTGCTTAAAGGGGAGTCATGAGAATTAGACCAAAGCAATATCAACTGAGATGGAGGGGATGATTGATGACTGCACCCAACATATCGTACTTTCTTTTAAGGGGGAAAAAGGCCTTCTACCAGCAAAATATCATTTAAGATCCATAAGTGCTGGAAAAATATAATCCGGTGCCTTCAAAACCTATACCTTTCAAGACAGAAGTTGGTTGGTAGTAACTAGACTTTAACAAAAACATTTATGCATATGAACCACACATTTTATTTCACCACCACCTATAAATGGTCTCCTAGCACCGTATAAAACAGCAATAAATGAAGCTTCAATACATTTCAAGTAACAATAGAAAACGAATTTGAAGTTCGTGAGACACCATACCTGTTGGCATCTGCACATTTAACTAATATGGTCTCTACAATTGGCTTGAGAAGTTGCTGTAGTTTAGTCCTCTCTGCTGAAGTATGACAAGGAGTATATACCAGCATGGCTCTTAAGGTTTTCTAAGAGAAAGGAAAAAACAATACACATGAAATTATTGCCGGGTCCTGCACTTGGGTCACAACAA